GGCAGCAGTAAATCCCCACTAATAGATGTTTTGTGAACTGTGAGCATACATTTTGTGTGCATGTAAACCCAAAATTTGCTGGTGTTCCTCATCCATTTTTGTAGACAGAGTGGAATAAAAGATAGCTCTATCACATGGTTATTCAGGTATCCAGGTAGGAAAATGGAGTTACTGAGAGATGAAATGACATACCCATCAGGCCACTGGGAGACCTGGCAATAAAATCCACATGCCTTGAGTCCAGTGCTATACTTTAAACATGTTTTAACTACAGTGCCTCTTAAACAATAGTTTTATATCTCTCAGCACCTTTGGAAAAATGATGCTGCTATGTTTTGCAAAGTGATTTGAGACCAACATATTTAAAAGTGCTGTATAAGTGCAAAATACTAGAATGAACCACTCTATTGAGATAAAGGTCCTAAGTGCATAATAAACTCCTTACCTCTTTAAATGCACATTTGTGAACAGCTGTTAAGAAGTGCTATTTATATGGAAACATGCATACATTTTCGTGTCTTTTTTAAGAGTCAGTTTTCAATTTACTTGTCCAGCTGGAAATATATAGATAACTTTCAAATCAGTAGCAAGCAAAGGAAAATTCTGTGGACAGATTCAAACATGAAAATTTTAAAACAAACAAACAAACAAAAGGTAGATTAATGGTGTGCAAAAGGAATTATATCCATTAGTCAGAAAAATATTATTTGAACTTTACTAAGAAGGACTGAGAATAAGTTAAATGGAAACTACATATTTCCCTGTTTATGATACAAATGCACGTGCTTATTAGAGACATAATAAAACATGAAGTGATTTTGAATGGACACTGTTAATACAGCTCTTTAATAGCACCTTTCCGAGAAACGTTTGTGAGATATTAAATCACAACTTACAAAAGAAATGTATCTATCGTCAAAAGAAAACAAGGATACATAATTACTGACAACATTATCAGAATACATCTTTTCAAGAACAAAGTACTTTAGTATTTAAAATTATATGCCACTATAACAATACTAGATCATTATGACTGTGAAATTAGTATGGGTATAGAAGAATGAGAAGAAAATGCTACCTGTTCATAAAAACTTCCAGTGACATGGATTCCACAAGCTCCCTTGTAACCTGTTCTAGTTCTTAATCTTTACAACTGTAAGAGTATGTTCCCCCCCTCTCCTCTCCCCCCCCCCGCCAGTCCAGGTCTACTGACGCGGGAGTGGGGCAAAGAAAGCAGTTGACCCAGGGCCCTGCAATTGAGTGGGGCATGGGACTCCTACAACCAGAGCAGCAGTGATGGCCAGAGTCCTAGGCCCTTTAAATCACTGGTGGGGCAAAGTGTCACATGCCCCAGGAGGCTCTGAGGGCTGAGAAGGGGGAAACTTGCCATTGTCTGAATGGCGCTGAGGTATGGTTACCCCCAGCCCTGCCCCTTCCACCTGAGGCCCCACGGGGCATAGAGCAAGCTCCTCCACACATCTTGCCCAGGGAACTACAAAAAATGTCAACTCCTCTACTCTGCCCACTCTCACCTTGATCTCCATTCCTGAACAGTAAGTGAATAACTAAGATAATATTGAACTAAAATATAATACTTTACATGGCTAGAAGTTTACCTTTTTAGGATTTGTGTTTGTTTGCAACCCTAAAACTTGAATATAACCACAAAGAAATAATAGTCAAACTAATTCTGACATGCAGCAATTAAAATGTGCCTGCTGGCTCTACAGATATTATCAGCTTTGATGGTGATATTCCTCATTTTATATAAAGGAAATATCCCTGACCCTGATATCATCTATTGAATTGGAATGAACTTTTAAAGGACCCCCATTGCATCTTGCAATATTGTGAAACTATACAACTATGTTTTCCCCAACCTCACCAAATGGAGACAATTATGCTGAAAATAATACTTATGCATGATCTCACACAGCCTGCATAAATGATATATAATAAGTTCTATTCCTGACTATACTTCTCCAGTACAATCAGCTACACACACTTTCATGCCTTATTCACATAATGGACAGGAAAAAAAATGTGTTGGCTTGTTATGTGAGTCCCATGGAGTTATTTGAGTTTACTATGACACATGGGGCTTTTTTCCCCCACACCAACTACTTTAACATTATTTCTGTTTGTTCAAGAAGAACACATTTCTGGACATTGCAGAAGGACATGTTAATGGTTCTGAGAGTCAACAGGATATGAGAAGACCTGTTTTGCATCATGAAATACTACCACTGTCAAGACTATGTAGCACTTTAAAGACTAACAAGATAGCTTATTAGATGATGAGCTTTCGTGGGCCAGACCCACTTCCTCAGATCAAATAGTGGAAGAAAATTGTCACAACCATATATACCAAAGGATACAATTAAAAAAATGAACACAATTAAAAACTGTATCCTTTGGTATATATGGTTGTGACAATTTTCTTCCACTATTTGATCTGAGGAAGTGGGTCTGGCCCACGAAAGCTCATCATCTAATAAACCATCTTGTTAGTCTTTAAAGTGCTACATAGTCCTGTATTTTGTTTCAGCTACACCAGACTAACACGGCTACATTTCTATCACTACCATTGTCAAGTACAACAAGAACAGTGCTGCTGACGAGTTTGCACACTAAGGCACAGGACATACGTTAAGTTTAGACAACAACCTTCCTTCTCCCATGTCTGTGGCTGACAGGGAGGTGACTGGTCCTGAGGGGACAAGGGAAGTAACAGTACTCAGACTCTGATCACACTGGAGTCCCCGCCTTACCTCCAGCCTCTTCTTGTCCTTCAGAGTGCACTTGGAGAATGTGACACAAGGAAGGGAACAGCTTTCTTTGCCTCCATTAGCCTCCACTGGCCAACTCGAGGGGGGAAGGACACTACTTTCATAGGCCCTAGTCCCACATTTAAATCCCTCTGAGGTATCCAGTTGCCAGTTGATTGCCGTTGCTGAAACTGCCTTTATTTGAGGCATTGCTCAACTGGATTTCTGACCAAATTGGCAATTTGGGGATCAAAAAAAAAGTTTTCTTTTTTTCTAAGTACCTTATTGACAAGATATCCATAAAGAGAGGGATGTTGTCTTCCTTGAACAGAAATCTAAAAGCCAAGTTTTAGGTAAAAAGCAATGTGAGAAAGTAATTGAGTATGCCTCATTCATTGCAACTTATGATCAATGTTTAGTGTAGCTGAAAGACTGAAAGGACTGTTTTCCAGGCTAGCCATAAACGAGAGACCCCAGCTATTAGCCTATAAAGAGAAGAAACCTTAATGCTACATCTACACTGCCAGCTTCTTGCACAAGAAGCCTTTTCTGCAAGAGTTTTTGCACAAAAACTTCTTGCGCAAGAGCACGTTCACACCTCAAAGCGCATCGCAAAAGTTATGTGCTTTTGTGCAAGAGAGTGTCCACACTGCATGGACACTCTTGCGCAAGAAAACTCTGGAGCATCCACACTTGCCTCTGCGCAATAGATGTAGCGCAAAAGGGAGTTATGCCTCATAGAAGGAGGTTTACCTAGACCGGCAAAAGCCCTCTGTTCTGAAGTTTTACTGCTGATTTACTTGAGCAAAAGTGCATTTGAGGAGTGGATGTTCCGCGGATTTTTGCTCAAAAACCTTGCAGTGTGGACGTAGCGCTAAGTGATTTGCAGATGCTGGCACCATCATTTCTTCTTGTGGGTGGAGAAGTAAGCATATTTTGAGGTGGACTGAGTTCTTATTGGTTGTACCTTCTGAGGTCACTTCATTCAGCAGTGTCATGATCACCTAAGTATATTTTCATATGCAGCATCGCACACTTAGTAGTTGAGAGGAAAAAATGAATGTGTCTTTAGATATCAGGTTAGATAATCTGGTACCACAAATCCTAAAATATTGTACTCAAAATTATAAGTATACTGCATAGGGGCACTACAGAGCAGAGTTAAGGTGTTTGGGGTGCAGTAACTGTGCATTTCAATACCAAAACATGTTTGGATTTCTTTTAAATTTGACCTTGACTCTTTTCCTGGGATTGCCAAGCTTTGTTTTGTGATAACTACATTCCTCTAATATTTTGACCTTTAAATTAAAATATTGCTATGTATGACATGAACTCCATTTTAATGGTTTTTGTCTTTGAATATAGGCCAATTTTTTATGACTTTCATATGTAAAGATTGGCTCTGAAAGTTTTGCACTTAAGTGGTCTAATTTTGTAAGTGCTGAACATCCATCATCTCCTATGGAATAAAATATATAATATATACCCCTATAAAATATGCATATATAAAACATATTTCCACACAATCAAAAAGCAGTATCTCTTCATATATATCTTGTAAATGTGGTGTGTGCACTCATATGGAATGTACTTGCTTTCAGGATTACAAATACAGGCTACATTTTTTATAGAACTCCAAAATGATTAATTGC